TCCCTTTAATTTTCGTTTATTTCACAAACTTTATTTAATTAACGTTCAGATCTGTTTTTATTTAATATTAGACATTTTATTTTATCAATATCGAGAAAGTAAAGCATTTCCCTCTTTTATTCTCTTTTTCCAAGACATAGACAAAGATCACGTAGATTCACATAACGAAGAATCCGTTTTTTTATTCGTGTACCTCAAAGTAGCCAAAAACTTGACATGCGAAGGAGCGACCTAATAAGAGAATCCTTGAGAGAAGCGTTTTACTTTGAAGAAGACGACATCGGATCAGCGGTCACTTGACACATTTACTCCATCAGCTGTCTACTGGGCACGACTAGATAAAGTCATATGCAATTTCCATCAATCTTATTTTTGGCGACATTATTTGCCAAAAAGTTTAGATTGGTAATTTTTAATATATATATATATATACACGAGAAAAAATTTGTATTAAATTTGATATACATATATCGCACGTTCTAGTCGTACCTCATTTCAAGCATTATTAATAATAATGGTTTGATTTTTGCTTCGATTATTTGATTTTTAATGATTTTATGTGCCATTGAATTTATCATAAAAAAGTTACAACCGATTAAAGATGTTTACAGTTTTATTTAAAAAGTGACGTTGATCTTTATTTTACTTTATTGTCACACAAAAACAAATTTTATTTCATCAAGTTCTCCTTTTAAAATTATATAATCTTGAGAAAATCAGATCTCGACATTTCATTTAATTTTTTAAATATTCAAGTTTAAAGTGAAACATTCTGTATATATAAAATAATATGGTCTTTTACTTTATCTTTCTTTTGTCTTTTTATCTAAAAATTTCTAATTTTTTATTGAATTTTATAATTTGTTCACGTTATCCATACGAAGTAAATTATTTCACTGGAAATCTATTTTTGTATTTACATCATCAAAGGATATTTCACGTTATCTTTGCACGCAAATATATGCGCTGTACGAAAGTTTTCTTGCGATAAGCATAACTATCCTTCAAGCATATGTTATTCCCGCGTGTGCCGTTAAAATGATAACTCACGTGATCTCGAATCAGCGATTGATGGATGACTTGTGCTTGGTCGTTTTCACGGATTATTAAAAGTCCCCACGATAAGAAGTCCAAAATGTTCATTATGTTTCTTTAACATTGCATTTGGCGAAAAGCAATGCTTGTATATTCATACAGCGTATTTGTTTTTACAATAGAAACATAAATATTCAGCTTGGCTCATTCATCTATTCTTAATTTTTAATTTCAATTTTCTAACCATAATGTACTTTTCGTATTTCTTTTTCTTTCTATCATATTATTATGACTATGAAGAATGACGGAAGCGTATGCAGCTGATTGCTACGAAGACTAAGCCGTCTCGACGAAAATAAGCACAGTGGATCGCGTAACCATCGCGGATTAGTAATCGAGCAAATTGATGGGTAAAATGGGGGTTATACGGAAAAGCAGATGTTTCTGATTAGCATGAATAATTATACCCTGTCGACGTTCTAATTAGTTATTTAACATGTTGACGTTTAAGACATCTTGAGTTTTGAGATATATTAGAGATATATTTGAGATATATTAGAGATATATTTGAGATATATTAGAGATATATTTGAGATATATTAGAGATATATTTGAGATATTATTTGTAACTCTAATAAAAAAAAAATCGTTACTTACCGACCTGGTGCGCAACAGCGAAGTGAATCTGCCACGTAGCTACGATTTCGTTATATTATTCTGTAACACAAAAACAGAACATTTAAATTATAGCAGAGCTCTAAATACAGATATTTTAAAAAGTAGTTTTTACGAATACACACATCGAATCTACATATTTGTTTTTCCATTAAACTAAATAATTCATTAAAATAATAAAATAATTAAAAAAAGAATTTATCTTTATAAAGATAAAAGCGTACAAAGTTTTAAACTGTTTTTCTTTCCCGAACTATAAAATTAAATTATCGAAATTTAATAATCCAAATAAATGTGAAATTACGTGAAATTAATTTTATATTGAGAAAAAAATATATATTTACCGCAAGGTTGCTCCGCCGATGCCCGATGCCTCTCCTAAGCCACCTCCTCCTCTCAGGATGTTAGGTCGTTAGATTTCCTCATAGCACACACTCGCGAATTATTATAATCACTAATTTTAAATAAAAGTTTTTTAGTCCGATCACTTGTACGGCACTTTCGAAGCAAACGCGCGGCGCGACGAATTGGCTGCAGTTCGTTCATTCACCCTTAAAAATCGGCGGCGGAAAAATAATGGTCGGTTAAAAACCGACATTTGCCACGTAAGAGTCAATGAACGACTCGTGGCTATGTTGTGTTAGTACATTATTAATAACAGTAATATTACCTAATGTCAATATTAATGTTATTAATAACAGTGCAACGGGTACTGTTAGCTTCTTCGTCTTCGGAATTCCGTTGGGAATCCCTCGGAATACTGAGCCCCTCTGCCACGTCAAGGCCATTGGAGAGATTAATATTTATAAAAAATTATAAGTTTCCAAGAAATAAGTCACTTAAATATGTATATAGTAACTAACGAAAGCCATTGTAATCAATCCGATTGAGCATTTGTGAGCAGAAAGTGATAAAAAATTAAATATTACATCAAATTATATCGAACCGGGTATTAAAGGAAAAAATAATAGAATATGGAATTTTATAGACACAACTGTAACAAGAACATTAGTATACAATATGGAGCGTCGATTCAGATAGATTATTAATGCCAAAAGAGATACAACAAAATACTAGTACATAAAAATGTAAAAATATTTACGGCGTTCGAATACTCTTGTTATCCGTTCATGATACGTACTTGTAATAAATATCTTATAAATTCTATATACATGGTTGAATTATTTTTTAATTTTACTAACACAATCTCTAAACTTCTATCTTGCTATAAACGCCAAATTGTTTCAGAAATTTCTGTTTAACATAAATATTTGATGTACTAAAAATCATAAATGTAAGCGTTCGAAGTACTTTCGTTAGCCACTGTATATTTCAATTAGTGTCGGTCCACAATAGGTGATTTAAGCTTTAAGAAGTAAGAAATTGACCAATTATAATCGAATATGAAAAGAATAATCGACTATGATTGGTCAATTTCTTACGACTTAAAGATTAAATACTCATTGTGGACCGACACTTAGAGTTATTTAGAGAATTACGCTTAATCGTTAATTAGCACTAATTAATAAGCATTTATTATGGCATTTATAAGGTAAAGTAACATTTGATATCATTCGGTATCAAAGAAATGCGAAAAAATGCGAAGCAACGTGTTTTTCTACCTGCCTATACGAATGCCGAACGGGCGCGGCGCTCGTAAACACGTGACATATCAACCGCGGCGGATAAACACAACTTAAAGCTACAGCCACAATAGTCTGGCTATGACGAAACAATATTCAACAACGTTACAACGAAAATTTAATTTCCATGTTTATTCATGTACGTATTTCCACTTTCGATAACGGAACATATATGTGATATAATTGTTACATTTTAAATAATTTTTAAATGATCTGTATCGTACATTTGCTATATTTCATTCAGGATATGCATTCGCTCTGTCGCGCTGTCATTGTTTTATCTTTTTTTTGGCATGTAATAAATAACAAAGGTAGAATGATATTTATAGCATTCAAAGCAAACGGCACTCTTAATAGACTCGTTACAATTTATTTAATCTATGTATGTATTTTATCTGTTACGTATAAACGTATAACGTATCGTTATATGTATTGTTATGTATGTCGGATCATCATTAAATAAAATCCTTCGAGATACGTAGCCCTTCCGTCGTGTTAAAGCAATTCATCGGATATTCATCGGAGAGATTATCATTTATAAAAAGTTATGAATTATCACTGCGTTTTAGAAAAATAAGCGCCCTTTCAATGAAAACGAGTCATTTCCGCCGTCCGAAATATTCAATGAGACAAGTCGCCTTTTAATACATATGAGTCCAACAAAGTCAGCGCGAGTTATCATTGTTTATTGTAAGATACATCGAATGTTCCTGTATGTCATCTAGAACTCGTCGCGATTTCGCGTTTCGAAAAGAAAACGCGAAAAGATAACGCAGAGCGATAGGCAACCCTGCTCGCCCGCACGAGCGTCGGTGATTGAATGATGACGCGCTGCCCGCACGACACCTCTCGATTGTGTAAACAAAGTACCAAGACGCACTATTGTATCGTTATCTCAACACAAAGATTTCAACACTATAATAAAATTAAATATAAGGTATATATACATACTTTTCATTCCAGGTTTTGCGCACAATGGAGGAAATAACGGGAACAGGAATAAGTATTAAATTTTGAAAACGAAAATTTGAAATATATTAGTAATTTTAATATTAGTAATTATATAAGATTTTTAGTGGCGAGATTATATAGTATGTGATATAAATATTTATATAAATATATATATATATATATATATATATTTATATAATAAAAAAATATAATGTCAAAAAGTAAATAGTGCGCACAAAGCGCGCAATTTTTTTTGTACTGTTCTAATTTTTAATTTCTGTTTACGAAATTATTAATCGTTGGAATTTTATCCATAAATAAATGTAGAATTCATTTAGAATTAACGGAAATTCTTAACGGATATCATAATATTCGATTGCTTTTTGTACTTTAATGGAGGACGTATCGCGTTGAAATGTGAAGTTAGTATATTTCTTTATTTTTTAGTGTTAGAAATGCAAAATGTTATTTAATCAGGAATTGTAGAGTTATGAAAAGTTCTACTGGAGGTATCGTTGTTTTTTTAAAAATTAATAAAACGTCACTAACTTCACAAGCACGCTTCTAAAATATTACTGTTCTAAATAGTACAATAATAGTTACAGATACTATATATATATATTAGTTAAATTTACACGAAGTAGTCTTGTTAGTTAATTATGCGAAATTTATGCAATTTTCTTTTGTTTTTATAGTTTTGCAAGGAAGCACGAATCGATCTGGATACACGGACCCTTTTATCCCAGAAACGAGCTGTGAACTTTTAATCACCGACATGCCTGTCAATAGAGTTCGCGTTTTACCGGACATACCAAAAAACATGCCGAACATGGAGATCCTGATCCGTGGGTTCGAAACAGACTTTAGATGTTCGACATCGGCCACCCAACAAGACATCAAATCAAAATCATCGATTTCAAACGGCAACTTCGTCAGGAAGATTATTGAAATTTATGAGTCAAGCGTAAAGGCATCTCACGAAAACAGACACTTGGAACGAGTTAAGGAAAAATCCGATTCGTTGAACTCTCTTGATGTCAATTGTAATTGGAAGAATATAGAGAAGAATGATTCGAATCTCGCAATACATGATGAATCCAGCTTGCAAGTTCAGGATAATTTTCAGAAAAAATGTAAGACCTCTTTCACTTCACTTGAGACATGCGATGGCGAGGATGATTTTGTAATGTGTAATCAGTATTATCCGGAGAACGACGGAAAAACATCTTCGGAAACATTGCCGGAATCTCCTGCCAAGATCAATATGTATGGTACTGCGGACGAGATATCAATAAATGCACGATCCAGTTTTTTGAAGAGAAATAAGACTTGGAACTTGAAGAAAAAAGAGCAAAGACCGAAAGATAAAATGAAGAAGACCAAATCAATAATTTGCTCAAGTCCTTTGGGAGACGTTGAAGATTTGAACTGTGAGAATTCACTTGACGATATTTTAACAAGCTCTTGCGACTCAAGCAGTAATAGCAGTTACATAAATTTACAAGCCGATCTATATGACTTCGAAAATGAACAATTTGATCTCTCGAGCTCATCATCACTAAAGTCCTTCAGATCGTCACAGACTAATGTGTGCACAAATATTGGCAATAGCAGTATAGATTTATCCTTCCAAAACATAACTGTTACGCCTTCCAAGGATATTTTAAAAGATCAAAAGAATTTTGGTCAGGATTCTAGATCAATATCAGGATCATCATCTAACTTTAGTCAAAAGTCATCGCATGTAATCAGCGCCTCAAATGAACATCGACGTGTCAACACAGAAGACACTTGCGTAACGTGGATGTCAATTCTGGCAGAGAAACTGTCGCGAACGAAGTCGCTGAAGAAGTTGCTAAAGTCGACATTCAACGATAAGATATTATTTAACTACAAGAAAGTTTGGAAAAAATGGTCGAAGAAGCGTTCAAATGAACATATTTCTGACTCGGGATTTATCGAACGATTTTTGTCTTCAACGTCTTCTTCCTCGTTGACATCTTGGCGTTCCGATCTCGACTATGTCGACGAAAAGCCGACTTTCAAAACTTTCGGCTACGCGGAAAATACTTGCGATATGACCCGATCGGAAAATCCTCGCATAGTATTGACCGAGGTGCCTCGCGAAAAATTTACAAACAATTCTGTGTCTTCCAATTCGAGTTCCTACGTACCTTCGGATCATACAATCTCCTGCAAAGAAAACCGCCAAGATGTCGAGCCTTCGCCGAAGTTGAAGATTCCCTGTAAATATCCGCTGTTTTTTAAACATCCTTATCTCTCTCAGAATCAGATCCCGAAACATCCCTTCGTCGCGGAAACGAAACTGGATCAAACGGAGAAGTCGGCGGAAGAAAAGGAGATAAAGTATGAAATGATAGAACACAAACGGAAATTTGATGTGCATAAGTTGGAACATTGGGGTGTATCATCCCTACGTGTACAAAGTGAACTGAACCTCTCATATCCCAGGGTATCTGAATGGTTGGCTTCTTCTCGAAACAGCAACTGCAATTTACTTGGGTAATTATAACAATTATAATATTATTATTCATATCAATAATTATTTTTAACTTTATATAAAAATAATAATATAATGATATAAGAATATCACATAAATAACGTATGTGTATAACATTAAAAAGTTATAATTATAAAATATATAATAAAAAACTCAAAAATATAACAACAGGGCACTAACGGAGCAATATAAAATCGTATTTTTATAAATCTTTTGTTGTTTACATATAAATATGATAAAATAAAAAGCAAAAATGAATAAAGCAAAAATAATAATTTACACAATTATGTTGATTGTGTGATCATAATGCTTTTGGAGTACGATCAACTGCTTTAAAATAGACGATACATGTGTATTAATATGTTTGTGATTCAGATCACGTTCAAGCAAGTCAACGTCGGCGCTCCATGAACTCGATGGACTCGGTGGGCTCGTTCGTTGGCAGATACCGATCCATAATGCCCCTACGTTGTGCCGCTCCAACACGAATTTCTCATCTACTATGTATTATAATCCACACGTACAGACAGAGTTTTGCATGTCACGCTACGCCACTGTAAGTCCGAAAAACTTGAGATTCTCCATGTCGCAAGAGAAATCACGAGCGATCGAAAAGAGTTTTGATGCTTAAAAGGAGGCACCGGCATTCTTCAGAAAGAACTTTTAGCCGTGTAGAAATTATGATTCCAAATTATGATTTAATTAAACTTCATCGCTAACATACGTCACGATAATAATCTATTTAAATTACAATCATATTTCTTGCAATGACAGGTGCTATGATTAAAAATGGTGTGCACGTATATACTTTATTTAGATTTAGGATTAATTCAATCCCACTGGTACTATCAGGCCGACGAGAGTAACTTCGATTTATGCCTGGTTTCCAACAGCTGCTTACACCAGAGCAGAGGCTAACAGATCGTTGGCAAACGGGTTTGCCGTGTCAATTCGCTTTGATGGATTGATATTAATTGACACTGCAAATCCCGGAGCACCATTGTACAATGTTATAATTAATGGGATTCCGATCCAATAAGAATTTCGATTGGCAATTAACTTGCTTACTTATTTATCTATTTATCAAAATTTTCATTACATTAAAATATATATTTTGCTTACTTATTTATTTATTAAAATATTTATATATATATATATACGATAATACTCAACAAAATTGAATCTTGCAATAATTATTTTTGATAAAATATCAATCGATGACTGAAATTAACTGCACGACTAAAAAGTCTGATTAAGAGAATGTTAGTGCCCATAAAAATTGTGAACTGAAAAGTTAAAAATTCGATGTATTGTATGCATCACGTACATCGTCTTTCTTTTTTAAAAACATCAGCATGAACACTCGGAGAGATTTTTACCAAATAGAAATTGAGCGACAATGTAATTTTTTTCTTTTTGCAAATAATTTTTTTCTTTTACCGGAAAAAGCGATATAATAATAACTTGTCCATTTTTCATAAATTTAACAAATTAGTATCGCATATGAGATTGCATTTTTAATTTTTCTTTTTATTTTTTTAACATTTTATTAATTAACCTTTTTCTCTCTCGTATTACGAAATAAAAAAAAGATTTGATATTTGTGAATAGATTTACTTTCGATTATTTCTTTCGACGAGATCAGTTTTCAATTCATGACAGATTCGTGATATCGTGGAAATCTCGTTCATTTTTTACGAAATGACACAACGAAGATTTTATCAAAGATTTAAAACCAAAAACGATATTATGTAATCTTTATTCTTATTGACAAAGATACTCTTCTCGAATCTCTCGTATTTCTTTCAGAAATATCGAAGAAGATCTCGAGTAGTGATAAATTAATTGTTATTTGTATGAAACATGATCTCGTAACTTTGACGCAGAATTTATATATTCTAATTTTATACTTAAATGTTTATGTTAAATGTTTTTATATACTCTACTTATTATAGTTAAATGTAAAGATGTGACATTTTGATTTATAATATATATTAATTATATACAACTGGCTGTGATATATGTTTGTGATATTATATATGGAACACTCTATCTAATTGAAATATTGTAAAATATACTGTAAAATATACTGTAAAATATATTCCTTTAAAAAATCTAGACATAAGGATATACTTAAATGAAAGAACGATTGAGAGAAATTGTAGCTTTATCACAAATTAAATAAAACACTTAAATATGCGCACACCAACTTTAACGTAGGTAATAAAGTAAGATCAATTCTAATTCTGGAGCTCTGAGAGAGATAGAGGAATAGGGAGGTTTTGCAGCACGTGATACTCCATGCGCGATGGGCACAGAGTCCACAGAACAAATAGGGAATTACATTATTAAGCGGGAGTCCGCGGGGTGAGGAGGGGGGTTTGCAAGATGAAAGGGATCCGCTGCCATCATCGCCATGTCGCCTTCGTATTCGCTCTTCTTTCCAGTGCACAATTTTCTTTCTCTTTCTCTCTCATTGTAAACGATTTTATTATCTTTTTGCCATTATCATCATTATCATTATTATTGTCAGATTATTCGTTCCTCCTTTTATTATAAAAAAATGTGTAACACATCGGATAATGATACTTATTAAATGTCCAAATTTTTAATTAAACTACTCTTATTATTCATTCAAAAACCTCGCTCCAATTCCACTTTTTAAGAATCGCATAAGATTCTCTAAGTAGAAATCTTTCGACCTAAAAATGAATCAAATGTATGTCACAGCCCAGCGTTATAACGTCTCATTCATACATTGATCCATTATCTGTGACACAAAGTGTGTTTAATTCATAGATTCATAGATTTATATCTCTGAATTTTATAGATCTCTGCGAGAATAGTTTTTGGGTCGTCCTTCCCCCCATCATTTTATTTTAATTTTGGACGTAATAATAGGATTGTGAAACAAATTACGAAATTACAATGAGGTTTGACAACTTCCTCACTTTCTATTCTCGATGTGCAGCTGGAATATACAAGTGTTACATCCTCTACGATTTGTGTTTCTTTCGAATCTCATAAAATCGCTCGTAGACACGTACGTCCCTTTACTTGACACTCTTTTTTTTATCTTTTTTTAAAAAGGTAATTTTGTAATGATGGATTATATTGTAAACATATATTATGAATCATAAAACACAATCGTTATTTTTTGGATTTATGTCATTGAAGGAAGGAGATATATACAAATATTCATAATATGTATGTAAAAATTGCAAGAAGGCATTAATCTACATTGGTAGAAATGAATATTAGCTTTATTTCTGTGCAGAATAATTGTTTAATCAAATTGACATCAAATAGACATTATAATGACAGTCAGAATCACTATTAAGATATGGGACGTTTTGCAGTGTAGCGTAGTCATCATTTTGCCATCATTTTAATCACTTTTTTTGACATCATATTTCTGATTAATTTGATGACACATCGACATCACATTGACTAAGTTGTTTTCATTAGGTTGGTAAGTTTATTATTTTCAGGTTATAATATTTTTGACTATAGAATGCATCTCTTTTCTCATAATAACAATTTTATATACCACAATGTTTTTTACTTTATATATAATAAGCTACAATTCGTTTTAGATTAACGGCCATAATATAAATTAAATTTGTATCATATATATATATATATATATATATATATATATAATAATAGTAGTATTATTTGTTTAATAAGTTTCAGTGATTACAGACAATAAAAAAAAAGGCATTTAAGGCCGTATTTATAGTTTAAACTTAAAAATAAATAAGACTTAAGTTGTTACTTAAGTTTATCTCTTAATTCATAATAAAATATTTTAGCAAATTTGAATTTGACAGGTATAAGATTTACTTGACAAAGACAGATTTATTTGTTCATGGACTTAATTTTACTCTTGACGTATTCATAATCTTAACTTGTTTCTAATAAGTAATATCTCAAGTAAATAAATATAATCTCAAGTAAATAAAAAATACGCACTTGGTCAAGTCTGACCTAATTAATAAATCAAACTCAATCAATAATTTCTTTATGAAGTTTGTCTTATTTTGTAACTATGAATATGTCACTTGTAAGTAAAACTTCATTAATAAGCCTAACGTTATCAAGTCAATCTTAAGTTTAGATATAAGTTTGGACTATGAATACGGTCCTGATATATTTATATCACGTCATATTCTGTTTTTTATTATGATTCCATTATTAATATTTTTTATAACTTTCTTGTCTTGAAAATTTCTTGGCAAAGTATTCTCTTTATTAACGCTATCTTTTGTCCCATACGTATTGCAATACGTCTCCCATAATTCTTTTTATATACTATTGAAATATAAGAACGGGATATTACTAAAAGAGTTTCAAAATTTAAAAAACAACATATTACAGTTATAAAAGAATTAATATAAATTATAGTTTAAGGCGTCTACATCAATAATCTATTAGCTTTGGAAGTTTCACGTATATGATACAGTAACGAATGTAATTATTATTTATTCTCAACAAGTTAAATAATTATTAATATCGATTTTCTTTAGTTATCTTTATTTATCTTACCAAAGTTAGTTTGTTCATCTCTGTGCTCACATATGTATAATGTATAAGTGACAATTTGACATCGAAGACAAAAATATAAACATTGTATTTTATTGTTTATTATAAATAAGCATTACCGGTTGGTAAAGCCCTAACTCAAAATTCTTCTCGTTAAATTCGTAATCTATTAAACGATAGGTTTTTATTTTCTTAGATATTAATGGTCATATGCACATGAAAAAGAAAGAAAACGTAATAAATATATATTTTGTTTATTCGTTGAAGAGTTTGTAGTCTCCTTTTTATTGTCTCCTACTTTATTCTGGGTTCCTATTATTTGCTTTGCGTGTCTTTTAGTTTCCCATGTCCAGGGGATTGGTTTCACATGGATCTATGAAATTATGCTTAAATGCTTTATCAGTTAAGATATCGCTTGCTAGCAATGGTTGATCTCTCCCAGAATCCTCGAAGTCTGCCTCCGAAGAGGATGGATTTCCCGGTTTTTCCAGACTGTCATCTGATACTCGCATCCGTTTTTGGTTTTTCCATTGCTACTCGCTTCGCTAGATTTGGTTTGGTCTCTGGGCATTTTATTTTCTCAGGTACCCTCCGGCTAAGTCGCCGATTCCCTAATGCGCCACCAGAAGAGGCACCCGATGGAGGACTAGCAATCCCACACGGGAATTTTTACAATAAATTAATATTTTTATATGACATAAACTTTGAAGAGCACCTTTCTTCCTGCCTCTTGCGATTTCGCATTCGCGAATCAACTTCGCGGACTTTCTTCTCCCCACGGACTATACATTAGCGAAACGAACTTTTCTCTCTGCGAGCCTCCCGCATGTAGTGACGTTATGTCTTGCGTCGCATGGGACTCTCGTTTTAGAGCTCCAAAATTAGAATTAGTACTATATTACTACTAATGTGCGCACATTAACTTTAACATACAGTGAGTTACAGTGATAAGTTGTAAACAACAAATTCTTTTATCAAAACTAAATTAAGATCTCTAACTCCAGTTCTTTTAATTTAACATATCTGAAAACAGCATCGGAAAATGTGTTAAAAAAAAGAATAATTTCTGAATTATTTTAATTAAATAAACATAACGTACATTGTGCCCAAAATGATTATCATATTATTCAAATATTATTTTTATTAAAAGAATATTTATAAAAAACAATCTCAAAATATATAAAAAAAAATTTATATTTATATTGTTACATCCCGAAGACTTCACGAAAGATTCTTCTTTTTCAATATCAGGATCAATATTACATGATATTACAAATAAAATAATTTATAGATGAGCGCGTGATCGCGAGATTAAGAAACTAACTATTTAATGATCAAATATTAAGTAATTTAGATGCAAAACCGCGATAAAATCTTATTAAAATCTTGATGATCCCTGTAACATCCGCGCAATACATACGTTAATATTTACGTATATACATACATATTTGCATACACACGCTCACCTATTATGTGTTTCTTTGGTTTTTTTTTTTTTTATGTACTCACTAGGCATTTATTAAAATGTTATTCTAAATTTAAATTCTTATATTTTTATTTTGAATA